TCATCTGTTCTAACATATTATTGAACAGTCAATAAATAAATCATATTTCTCCAATTGCTGACAACTCAAATTATATTGATTTATGTTCAAATTTTAATATTTACAACATTTTTTTATCTTTATTTTTTTAGATTGAAACTTTTTTGTAAAAAAAAAAGATTGTTTTAAAACTTTCATTTCATTTACAGTTTACTAAAACTGAGTTTGGGGAGAGAGAATTAGAGGAGTTCAGTGAAGAAGATGGTTACACTCCTTCCTATTGCGTATGACCAAATGGCACCGCCGACAAGTAGAATCATGCCACCCAAGTGTTTAGATAATTGGGTTTGAATTGAAAGTTGATGTGCTGTCAAAGAAATTGATGGAGTAGATAAGGCTAGTGATATGTATAGAAGAAAAATTAGGTTTTCATGGTGGCACGAACCATACAATGTGAGTTACTTTCTTGAGTTTTCATGGAGGAGAAAGCACCATGCACTTGTAACTTTCTAATCATCAAAAAAAAAAAAAATTGTGAGAGGATAACGTTTCTTTCATGTATTTTATCATTATTCTTGTTTAAAAATTTGGAAACTGAAAAAACTACTAGAAATATCAATGATCAACTTTAAAATACAATGGACTGAAGGCATGAGATGACAGATGAATTGTGGGTGCTGGGTAATTAAACCAGGCATCTTTAGTTGATGCTCTGAAGGGACATGGGAAGCCCTTTTTATGAAACCTTTAGCAGGATAGATGCTTCATTTCTATCAAACTTTCCCTCGGGAATAAAGGTTATTTCCTGTAGCAACCCTCTTTAACCATCAAAACATAGTGTTGGTTGAATGGGTAACAGAATTTGGGATAGCAGCAATGGATATTTGGCTCAAGTGGTAATTAGAGTATATTTATATTTTTGTTGATTTGGTTTGAATTTATTGAGAAAATAATTTTTTTTTCAAATTAATCTTGACATAAATAAGTAAGCTTATTTAGACAAAAATAAAACCCAAAAATCATTTAATAAAAAAAATTTCGAGATTATGCCTTTGTGAAACTTTAGGGCTAGTCAAAATTAGTGAAATAGTTAAAATTAAAATATTAAAAATAACCACACTTAAAAGATTCATCAATGGCATTTATTTCTCTAACACAATTTCTTCAACCCTACCATTAAATAGTTCTCTAATCGTTTTTATTTGTTTTATTTTGTTTTAAAAAGACAAAATCCTTGAACTTTTACTTCTTAAACCAAAGATAAATGATCTCCGGTCAAAAGAAACTTTATCCATATATATATATTTCATATGGTACATGTAACCGGTCACAACAAATTTGAAATGATAAAAATTTTTATCTTTTCCTTAGAATTACCTATAATTTTTTTTTTATAATTAAAATAGTGTAATGCTTTTTCCTTTTTATCTTATCATCTAATTACCTTTCTCAAGGTAATATCACTTGGAGAATTCTGATTTGCAAGTGAATCCACCACACAGTTTTTTTTTAAAAAAATTACAGATCTTGATATTTGAAATTTAAATTTGTTAAATATCATTTTTTTAAATAATTATATGAATAATTTGAGTTAAATTATAAAATTTTATGACTTCCAAATATAGTTCTTGATGTGAATCTAAGTTTAACATATGTTATAAAAATTTTATAATCAATTATATACGGACTCGGAAGGTAAATTTTAATAGTATTGTACATATTAATGGCCGGAGCCTAGAGTATTTAAGTGTTTTAGTAGGTAATTAGAACTCTAGAAAGAAACAAATTAACAAAAAAAAAAAAAAAACAATTGGGTTTTTTTGTTTCCTTTATCTCTTCTTCTTTTTATTTTATTTATTCATTTATTATCATCACAAAGTTAGCTATTATTAAAAAAAATAAAAATAAAAAAAGGTCGAGGATGGATACCCATAATCATTCGTTCGATGACCCCATAGAAAATGGCCCCAAGGCCTGAGTCAGACATCTAACTAAATTGGAACGGCAATGCGTTTGCATCACAAGAAATATTTACCGTTACTTTCATGGGGCCCACCACCTTCACTAAGGGGCCCAATCAGACAAAACAACAAAATCGGTGGGCCCATGTTATTTTCGTCGATGATGCTGATTGATTAAATTGTGGGCCTAAATTTTCCTCTGCATGTCATGCTTTTGCTTTGCATTTGTGTTTTCCATGCGTTTAGGGGTTCGTAACACCTGCCATTTGTCACCGTTAATGTATGTAGCTATGCTATGCAATTGTCATGATATTATTGATCTTTTATATAAAATTTTTTATTAAATTATTAAATAGATTATTGATCTCTTTTCTTCAGTCAAAAAAAAGTTACACTAACCCAAGATCATACTAATAATAAGTTATTATAGTGAAAGACATATCTCCATAAAAATCAAGCTTCCTTATAAATCCTTATACTGCTTTGTCAAACTACTCCCCTTCTCTTACTAGATCTTTAAAAACTCTTTTAAAACCTAAATACTAAGCTCCAAAAGAGTATGTGATACCTTTTCCACTAAGATTTTAAATCTGATAGACTGGTAATGATATCAAAACCAACAACAAGATCTTTCTGGGAAGTGGAGATCCTAAAATTTTTTTGAGTAATTTGACAACCTGAAAAGATTTGAAAGGTAATAGAATTGCTGATAAAGTCTGTAAAAAATACATTATCATCAGCGGTTTTGAAAAAAGTTTTCTGTTTTGTCCAAAAATTTTTGAGTAAGATAAAAGAGTTTGATATGGTTTGGGCTGCACCAGTGTCAAAAAAAACTGGATAAGAGGAGAATGAAAGAACGGTTTAAGTTAATGGAAACGGTTATAAATGTTGATATTTTAATTTTAGATATATTAAATATATTTTTTAAAATTTATTACATGAATTAATTGAATTAAATTTTAAAATTATTTTTTATTTTCTTTCAATATAATAAAATGATTAAAATACTAAAAAAATCCTTTGAATTATTTTACTTTTTATGAACAAATTTTTATATTTTTATTATATCTAAATAAGTCATTATTATTTGATTTAGATCCAAATAAGAATTTATTTTAAACGAAAAATTGATTTTTGTTAAGAGTTTATTGAAGTATAAATTAAATGTTAAAAATTTATTTGGATACAAATTAATTATTAAGAATTTATTTGAATATAAATTAAAAAATTAAAAATTTATTTGGATGTAATAAAACTAATATGTTAAAGTTTAAATATTTTCTTTTAACCTGGTAAAATTGTGTAAAATAATTTTGTACATATTCTTTTCTCCGATTGAATTCATTGATGTATTGATTTTTACTACTTTATAAATTGCATATAAATTTTGAATTCATTAAGTTATTGATACATGACATGGCTTTTGTTTGTGTGTGTGTATATATATATATATATATATATATATATTTTGCTTAAGGATATTTCCGTTTGTCAAGCAATAAGGTGCTTACTATCTTCTCTTTGCTTCGTTGGCACAAAACTTTCGTAGATAACAAGGTATCTAAGTGACTTGTATATTATGATTTCTTGTACTCATTGAATTTTTCTTTTTCTGAAAGTTGAACACGATAACGGAGGTTTTTTAAAAAATTATAATCCAAAATTATTTTCAATCTTGTGCTATTTTACAGATTTGATAATTTTAAATATAATAAATAATATAAAAAATTTTAAAATGATATGATTTAAAATTATAATAAAATTATATAAATTTAACAAAATTAAAATATTATTTAATATTTAACATATTAATATAAATTATAATATAATATTTTTTATTTTTTATATATTTTTAACACGAAATAAATTGATTATTGATATACAAATTACGACTTGATAAAGGAAAAAAATTATTAAAGCAATCTTGATTCTATCTGGGAATTCAATTTGCAAGGAGACATGTAAACATGTATACTTAGGTAAGCAATCTTGTTTTGTTTCCAAGTGTTGCTTGTCTGGCTAAGTAACTGGAAATTTAATATCTTTAAATGGCAATCACCTACCCTGCCCAAACATTGGTGTTTGATTGAAGGCAATCCTTGTTTCGTTCCGGGCCTTGAAAGCTTGCGTGCAGAAACAGGAATGAGGAATCAGTCCTAGATCTGAAACAATAACCCGATCTTTGCATTAAAAAAGCTAGCCTTTCGTGCTTATCCAAAGCCTAATCTTCTTTAGAAAGAGAGTTAATCAATAAAGCATATTATGATTTATGAAAATTAATTATAGGCAAGAATAATAAAGTTACCCCTTCCTATCCAACCTGACCTGGTCCCTTCAAATGAATGCTTCGAGGACAAAGACACATGGACTTTAAAACCCCTTTCCATTACACGGTTAAACAAAGTGAAGTTCCAGGTCCCATTTTCTGTCCTGTTCCGATTAGTTGGCGTGAGAGTTTGGACAAAGTGATCATTGCAGAGTAAATAGACGAGAGATAGAAGTATATTATTTATTGAGTTGATAAGGATTGAATATTTCATTCGTAAAATTTGATTTGATTTTTATTATCAGCAGTCACTATATAAATTTAATATAAATTCTGGATGTTATGGTAGAGTTTAACCCTGAATAATCTCAACTCACCTGAATTTAAAAAAAAAAAATAGATGAGAGAGTAGCGGAGAAAGAATGCTATAAAATTACAGCTAAAATAATTTCTGCTATGAGAGTACTTGGGTTTTTATCAAAACATTTAACAACGAAATGACGTTCTTCAATTTTAAAGTAATTAAATTAACCTTAAAAAGGCTTAACATCGTTCTCTGCTCACTTCATTAAAGATTACTTCCTTCTCCTTTTCAGCAAGGTAGAATTGGACTAAACCACAGCAAACATCAGGCATTGTTGACTTGGTTTCCTCCGTAAAAATGACATTAGCTTGTCTTTAACATGGCATCCGCAGGTTTGAATATGATTGAAGGTAAAAAGGAGTTTTGGGTTTCGTAAAGAGAAGTGTTTGAAAGAAGGTAAAGCTATTTATTTCTGCATTCGAAAACTCAGAAGAGTACAGCGAGAGATTGACAGCAGAACAAGAAAGTCAGGACAAAACACCATTAAAATCCGGACTTAAAACTCGGTCCACTAAAGGACAAAACTCACACTTCAATTTTTATAGATTAGAAACTAGAAAAAAAAATAAAAGTAAATTGAAAAGAAAAAAAAGGAAATCTGGAAATTATCGTTGGACGTTTCCAGGCTTTTACTGTAAAAACCAATCATTCTCATGCATTGTTGCGTCGCCTCTCTTTCTCTTCCTTTAAAAGGCACACCCAACAACAAAACTCTACCCTTTCAAACCAAAGCTTTTTTTCTTCTTTTTTTTTTTTCCGTTTTCTCTCTCTTTTGCAAAGTTTTGCAAATTTGTGGCAATTTTGCAGGGGCTGAATTAAACTGAATAAAGAAGAGTTTGGCAGGGTTAAATCGATGTCTAGAGTGAGAGCCCACTAACAAAAAGTAGAAGTTCATACATCTGAGAGAGAAAGAGAGAGTACTGAAGCTTATCTTTCAATATTTCTTTTACTTGATTGTTGATGATGGCTTTCTTTTCACATGGAGTAGCAAACATTTATTCCATATTTGCCTGAAACACCCGGCACTGTAGACAGATACAGTTCTTTTGCAGTAAAAAAAATGGCAGAGCAGTTGATCGTGCCTGCTTTTGACTTGATCATGTGCTTTGCATGCGGGTTATTATGATGGGTATCCATTCTTGTCCTTGTTGAAGCAGTTGATCGAAGAAACTGAGATAGTAAAAGACAAGAAATATAGGGAAACCAAGTTTTTTGTTTATTTTTTACTGTTCCGCCATGGAGGCTACAGAGATTTAGGAAGCATTTCAATGTCCCAGAGTAGGCGTTTTCTTTTCTGTTGAAATTAAAAAGAAAAAAAAAACTTGCATGGATTTGTGTGTAATGTTTGAGAGGGATTTCCAGTAGAGTTTTAGCAGAAAACAGAGAACCCGTTTTACTTTTTTTTTTTTTTCGTGGTACCTACTTTTGAGTTTTCAACATCTGAAGGTGGATTTTTGTGACAGGCGCAAATCATTTCCAGCCTTCCAGGTGAGCTCATGCCTTTTCTGACTTTCCATCTCTGTCCTTTTAGTTTGGTGTTCCTTCTGCTTAATTAATCTGATTCTTTCATTTGTTTTTGGTTTCGTTTCATATTAAAATTTTTGGGGGCTGATATAAATCTGATAAGAGGTAGATATGCTAAGGAATAGGTCCAGATCAGTGACCAGCAAGCAAGCTTTAATGGCTGATCACAGCTCTCAATCATCCCCTGCCCAGAATCACACTAAACCAATCCCATCTTTCTTTGATTCTCCAAGATTTAAAGCTTTCACTACAAATGGTCTCCCCGAGAATGATGCTATCAAGAGTCCTACTTCAATCCTTGACAACAAACCATTCTTTCCTTTTGGTTACCCCTTTGGTTTTAACATAAACCAGCGAAAATCCCCAGAAGTTTTCTCACCCAATAACAAACAGCACTCACCTAAGAAATTAGAATCAAAAGGTATTGGTCTTGCTATAATCGATACATTCAATGAAAAGCCAATTGAGAATAAGAGTTCTCGGGAGACAAGTAATAACAAAGTGGTTTTGTTTGGGACCGAGCTCAGAGTTCAGATACCTCCGCTCCCACCTTCTTTAATTTATCCAACTACTCCAATATCTCCAACCGATTTTGGAATCAAGAGCAGGAATTCACATTTATCATCAGCATTTGGCTCTCCCAATTCTGGTATCCATATCAAGGATTCTCCTCGGGTCTTCACTGGATGTCTTCCTGTCAAGGAAATGGAGCTGTCTGAGGATTATACATGCGTGATATCTCACGGACCTGATCCCAAAACCACCCATATATTTGACAACTGCGTTGTTGAGAGCTACAGCAGTGTATCGGATAAGCCCAAGTCTCCACCAGAGAGTTTCCTGAGCTTTTGCCACACATGCAAGAAGAATCTTCAACAGAAAATCGACATTTACATTTACAGGTCGGTTCCTTTTTCTTCCTCCTGAAATCCATCTTCTTTTATCTGATAAACTAGATTCTGTTAGGTTTAAATGCATAATCTGACAATTCTTTTACACTGTAATGCAGAGGAGAGAAAGCCTTTTGCAGTCAGGAGTGCCGTTATCAAGAAATGCTCCTGGATGGAGTGGATAATTAAGAATTTCATTTCATCACTGCTTGAAGAAATTATTTTCAATTGCGAATGATTGATTCCATAAACCAAATATTGTCTCAGTTCTTTTTTTCTTTTTTTTTAACCCTCTCCCCTGCAGATATAGATAAGAGAGGATGAAATAATGTAGACTTAAATTAATTTTGTTCAAGTATTTATATGATTGCCAATGGCCTTTTGTTTTTTCCTACAAATTTTTTTCCTTGGCTTTTCAACAGGTGATGATGCATGATTGAAAATTGGCTTATCTTTATTATATATTTTTTTTATTTTTTTTCCCATTCACATCAATATCATACCTATGATAATTTAAACAGGGGAGCCAATTATTTCACTGATGAAGATTCTCATATCATACCATTCTGTTTCTTATCACTTTCTGGTGATCATGCCCACCTGTCTATCTTGGTTGAGAAAGAAACATCTTCGGGAAATATTATATCATGGAAGCTTGATATATAAAACTGACTTTTTCAAGAAATAGATCCAATCTCTAGCCTCTTTCTAGATCGATGCTAACAGGAGTAAATCAATTAAATATTAGTAGTGGTTGAGAACTTTGATCCTAGTGCAGAGATAACTCCAAATATTCAAATTGTAAAAAAAAAAAATGCTTTTCCAATCTGAATTATCAACCCACGTCATTGCCAGGCCCCTCTTGCCATATCTTTTCTCAAGCAAATATAATAATGGTGAGCAGAGTAATAACAATGATAATTTGCATTAAGCAAATAAAGAGAAAGCAACCTTCATTTCCTATATCAATCAGTCCAGATTAGACTCGCTCAAAGCGTTGGAAAATTTGATAAAATCCTATGATTGTTGTATTAAGAATGGTTCAACGGAGTCAGATACTATCTTAATAAATAACATCCATCACCCAACGAGCTACCAACTTGCTCTTAATTAAAACCAAATTATGCAGGTATACTTGGGTTTTTGGGAAAAGATGAACATTACATGTGAATCTTTTCAACTGTGTAACTATAATAAAATGGGTGGAAATGCAACTTGATGATGACAATTGCATTTGCTTTGAGAAACTCTAAAATAACTATCAAGAAAAGAAAAAGGTATCATAGAAATATTTGCATTTTTTATCATTCAATGATTTGCTTCTCCCAGAAAATTGCCAACTAGCTTGTTTAATTTTAACATCAGAGCCAACCAGCCTAGTTCTTGTATCTCCAGTTCCCAAATTTCCCCCCTCGTCTTTAATCACTCTAATCAAGAAACAACATAGATTTTTCTGTTTGAGCTTCGATATCTCAGAACATCAAATCCTGAGCTTCGACAGCTCAAACTAATGGCTAATTGTTCTCTGTCTTTCTGTCTCTTCTCATCTTCAAACTTGTTCAGTTCAGAATACAGGACCTCCTAAAAGAAATAAAGATACCTGTTCTAGTCCAAGCCTGTTTAATATCAATGTTGTCCCCTGAAGTTAGGATGACTGATCGAGTCCATTATTAGAGGTGTTAAATCCATTTCCGCATAATAATCTAATTAAACGTAAAACACCAAGGGTTGCCACGATTCTCAGATTCACTGCATCTTCAACAGTCGTTTAACTCTACCTCAACATCTTGATTTGAACTATCAAAATTCAAAATATTCCAGGTGAAAGAAAAGGGGAACTATCAATCTACGCATGCCTTGACTCAAATTATTAGATCAACGCGTATGAACTATAGCCCAAATTTCATTCAACCTTCATTAATTAATGATCGGATCTCACTTTTGCTTTTCATGTTATTTGCGACTACATAGAAACTAGAAATTCGTCCAAAATCTTGTGATTGGCCCAATAAAATGAAAAGAAAACAAATGAAAAACATGGTGGGGACTGAGGAGCCGAGCAAGCAGCAATTCCTATTATTACTCTGGGCTGGGATGTCTAGCTGGTTGACACTTGAAGACATGAGATGACACTAATAAGGTCAATGATTTTTACAACCCATGTTTCTAAAGTGTAACATTATCCGGTTTCTGAATTTAAAAGGAAGCTGGGAACATGTTTTTGTATTCAACACACCAAGTATAACCCCCACCGATACCCTATCACCAATCATCTATTTTTGAGCTTAAGATAGAGAATTTGGAAGTGAGACAATATTGGCAGCAATCCAACTTTATCCTAAGCTAGCAACTTCTCCCATGATAAGCGAAGATCTTTCTTGTAACTTCTACCATATTGAATGGTTGTAACAACTTCGACGTTTCAGAAGAAATCCCTTAATTAAAATTTCCATTCACTGTCAAAGATTAACAAGAAAAAGCCTTGCAATGGAATGAAAATAACACGCGGTGCTCTGATCAAAACTGAAGGTATTGAGCAGCTCTTTTCACAGTCGGCATCCTAAATCCGAATTGAAAGAAAAAAGAGAACGAAAGGAAATACTATAAGTTATCCCTTTCAGCAGGACTAGCCTTTAATTTTGAAAATAAAGAGACGGGTAAGTACTACGAGTCTATAATCTCCAAGATTAACTTTACACTAATGGAGCATCCTCCTCTAATCCTGGCCCCTAGTAAGGCGAGGGCAAGCCGGTCTTGTTCGTGATAAGTAGAAAGCATTGGATATGGGGCTTTTGTAAGGTGATGGCTGATAAGCGAGGGATGGTCTTCAATTGGCGGTAAATCTTGGGATAAAGTTCTTCGAACTTGATGTGTCGGCTGCTGCTTTACTATGATACAACTAGTAATCAAATCGTATCTCCACTCGTTTTCGATTGCACGAGACCCTTTTCAAGAAGTTTGAAGAGGTGAAGATAATCCACATTTCCAGAGAGCCAATTTCAATGCTAATGCTTTGGCCAAAAAACCGGCAACTCTTAACATTAACATTTTTTTTTTTAACCTTTTACTGGGAACCACCAGATTTTGCCAACTATGTTTCTTGAGTTTTTTTTCCTGTGATGGGATAAAATAAAATTTTTATTCGTACTCTTAGTCTTATTTTAGAATACTCCATGCCATGTAATTTTTTTTCATCCTCACCCCCAAAAAATCATCCCACTCCCCCCAAATAAAGTGTTTAATTTTCATATTTATTAAATTATTTTTCGTGTAACCCAGACCAGATGTGTTGCCTCCAAATCTTAAATCTATTATATAATTCTATGATTATATAAAACTTAGCCTTCTTGGAGGTACTAAGGAAAGTATGAGGCTATTGGAATGTTCTTGTCAACAGTATGCCTCTTTCAAACCATGCTCCTGCAGAAGATAGCAGACTTTCAATAGTTGTTGTGGATGAGGGTTCTACTTCGACCAAAAAATCTAGTGGCTATGTTCCATCACTCCTCTTGGCTCCGAGAATGGACAGTGACAAAGATTTGGTGCAGACACAAGAACTTTTTCAGTTTGGAGCTAAATTTTGTTCTCATCAATTTCATCAAAGTTGTGAGCCCTCTCGGATAAATTTCTCAGTAGACACTTTCTCTGAGCAAACCATCACTATGACGTCTTTAGATAACCGAACTAGTAATTCGAACAAATGCAAGTTTGCTGGTTGCTCAAAAAGAGCAAGATATGGGCATCTGGTCTTTGGATTGGTCATGGGGGGCGACAAAGATGCCATAAACCTGGGTGATAGATACAGATGGTGAAGGGAGGAGCATAAAGGGTAGAGACTACATCATGTTTGGAGTTGGAGGAGCTTATGTATACGGATGGTGAGGGGAGTATCATATTGGATTTAGTATGACAGTAGGAGGGGCAATGTGAATAGGCAAGTTCATTGGTCAAGGTGCAATGGCTGGAATAGGTCTAGAAGCAGGAGGAAGGATGATGTTCATGGGAGTGGTGCAGCACATGAAATGGGTGTTGATGGTTTGAAAGGAGCTGCGGCGGTAAACAACTCCTTATTGACAAGTCCTTGATCATTACCAGAATTTAGAACCACGGGCTTGTCCTTAAATTCTTCTGCCCCTTGCTATGTGGAGTTTGAATTTTTTAAAATAAGCGACCGTAGAGAATATTATGTAGGTTTCGGTTTGAATAAAGAGGAAAGAGTGAGTGAGGTATAGATGACATCAACGAAAATGGTCTACAAGAAGTCACCATTGTTAAGAGTTTCGCCGCAATGTACTGCCATAACTAATGTACGTTTTTACTACGAAGAAAAAATAATGGTAAAGTTATGGTTTTTGAATTTGGGCAATTGTTTAATTTGCTTGCTTCTGAAAAAAAAAATTCTTAAATGACATTTTCATATTTTACTCTTATAATATTACAATTATTCAATTATAATAAAAAATTATATAAAAATTCAGTATAAATTTCATATAGATTTTTAAAGAACCTCACATAATTCTAAATTATAATTATTTAAATTATATTACAATAATAAAAAATAAATGATATGCTCCTTAAATTCAAACTTAAAAAAAAAAAAAAAGAGGGGATTTCAAGTCCTAAAGTTACCAGGCTAGAAGAGAAGCTACTTGCCAACTATATATGATAATTTAACGTTTACTTAAGCATCATAACGCATAAATACAAGTGGAAAACACCGTTGACAAAAGAACATACAGCACTTCGAAAATTAACATGGCACTTAAAAGAAAACATTGTCCACAGCTACATAAGCTACTGCTTGAAGAACTCATCGAAAAGCAAAGACAACAATAACAAATATTTCGGAAACATGTGCCAGACGCAGATAATGTTTTCCTACATGACTTCCATTAAATACTACATCCAACGCGAACAGATCTACTTTAACAAAAGCCCTCCGGAAATACTTATCCCATTTGCTCACTGAAGAAAAATATAGAGCAGATCATTGGTAACAGTTAAACTAACATAATAATCTAATCTAAATTTCATGAAATGAAAATATCTTGTAAGTAGCTTGGCACAGTCAACAATCTCCAAGAAAGATTGGCTCCATGAACGCTCCTGACTACAGAGTGGCATTACCCATTAGGATAAACAAGACACAAACAACACTTGCAACTGGACATGGCAACATTGATTAACCTAACAAGCTTCAGAAGCAGAAGTGACAAATAACCACTTTACTTCCCCTTCCCACTTTTTCCTTTTAAAAAACAGAAAAAGATGGGAGAAACACCCTAACAGAGTGTAGAGGAGAGAAACCCTTACCAAAAGACAGAAGAGTATATTTAGGATATTTGATTGTTAAGCAGTCAATTCAAGCATTAATGGAGAAAGGAATAGAGTCGCAAGAAAAAGAAAGATCATCTAAGCAGGCTAGTTGAGGCAAGGTTAAAAAAAAGAAACAAAGCGACTAACCCAAAGTTAGACTATTAGAAACAAAGGACATTGATTGGAGACCTAGGAAATAAAGATGATAAGAAAAAGAATATAACAGAAACCTAAGGAACTTGGCAAAGCAATTTAGAGGAGATTCAACAGACTACACTATATACATTGTGTCAGATGCTAAAAGTCAACAACTGGAATGAGACTAACCACCAAGGACTTTATATAGTAAAGTTGTAAAATAACAAGCACATAGTTTCATTCAAGCCCAAGAGATAAGAAGGCAGCCATCTCTGCAATTTCATGCCATGGACGAGAGCAGACAATCTTTGATTCTAATGTAAGCTCCCTTCAGCTTCCTGAACAGCTTGAGTCATCTTCCATCCAAGATTACAAAACTCATACATCACATACTGTGCGCATCTTGTAAATCAAACCTTTCAATAACCAGCACAAAACTCTCACAATGCATCAATTCATACAGCAAATTCTAGAGACTGTCAACCTACCATTGCCATCACTTTTTCTCATACTAACGCACAGAGAAAGCTAAACAAACTCATACCGACCCATGCTACCAATCTTCTTATTCAATCTACATACAATCTAAAACTAACTCCAATTTGAACAGTGAACTTATTTACAAGAGCTGAAAAGCCCCTTCACTCTTTTCAGTCATCGGTGTTGTCAAGATTGAGAATGCGACGTAAAGTCTTAGTCGCAGAGTCAGCACTACCAAAAGGTTCCGCTACAGAAGGTTTAAGCTCCCTGGTAGGAGATGCAGGCGCAGACTTGGCAGTTGGATGAACATCAATGACTGGGTCAGCAGGCAAATCAAGTGACACAGTCCTCTTCAGACGAAGTGAGAACTTGGGTATTGGCAAAGAGCTAGGCGGTGGTGAATTGGAATAAGCAGGTCCAGCCCAAAGCTCAGAGTACAGAAAAACTTCCCCAGAGATCTCCTCACCAAAAGGCTTACCATTTCTAGGGGTTTTGTTGTTGTTGATAGGAAAAGGAGAGCATTTCCTGGTAGTTGAGTGTGTTCCATTAGCAAAAGGAGATTTTGTATTTGGGGAAGATGATGATGAGGAAGAGGAAGGGGTAGATGCCCCTTTGGTTATAGTAGTAGAGCTATACTTAAACGGGGTTGGGAGTAATCCTGCTTCGGATTGAAAAGTCCTACAGTTAATCCCTGTAAAATTTCTACCTGGTGATGACCCAAATCGGGCTGGCCCATGTGGCTTCACCCTGCTACAGTACTGATTCCTATGTTGCGCCACCACAACAAGAGTCTCCATTCTTTCCTTAATTTTGATAATCAAAACGCACTGATTCAACGATTCAACTCGGTCTAACAAAGAAAAAAAACCCCAAATTCTTCTATATCCACTAAACGTCGTTACCGGCCACTGAAATATAATCAAGGCCACAACTTTAAGGCTAAAATCATACCTAAAACAACACTTTGAACTTCTAGATCTTCGCCATCATAGATTCAACAAGACGGTGTTAAAATCAAAGTTATTTACTTTGTCTAAAATTAGAGGATGAAAGCCTCCGCATATTCACAGGAAAATTATGGTAATAATAAAAACCCGCTATTCTGTTGCATCGAATCAGACGATCTTCGTAGTTCACAACCATCAATCATCAAACTGCAAAAAAAAAAAAGAAAAAAAATGAGAAATTGCAGCAAAAAAAACCCAGAATCCAAAATTAAGAACAATAAGAAAAATGACAGTCATTTGCTGGGGAGAAACTTTTTTGGAGTGGGAAAATTACCATAAAAAAGTTACCCTTTCAGAAATGTTATCTGATGTTGTTAGATCTGAAGAGAAAGTGAGTGTTCTTCTTCTTCTTGTGAACGATGATTTCATGTAAATTTTTATTTGGTGGTGTTCGTTGTTTTCTTTCTTTTGGCCTTTCCAGAAAGCGAGAGAAAGTAAAATCCCAAGGAACTTCAATGGCTTTCTCACAGTTATACTTAAATATCTTACATGTACTGCTCCTCCGCTTACTGTAATTTCTTAGAAAAGTAGGCCTCATTTAGACCTGATTTACGGTTTTGACATTGTATAGTTCCTTGACACATATGAGGAAGGAAAATCAATAAATTATAAATTGTATCAGATATGCGGGAAGAGGTCTTTTCACTGAAAAACTTAGCGGAAGTTTTTTTTATTTTATTTAAAAAAATAAATAATACAATCTAAATCTATAAGTGAGATTTAAAATTTGTTTAAATTATTTTTATATTTTAATTATTTTAACAGTTAATTTAAAATTGTTAAATCATAAATTTAATTAAAAATGTAGTTTTTATTTTTAAATAAAATAATAAAAATTTTTACAGCTTAAAATAATAAAAAAAACTCTTTTCTTATCCGTTTTATTAATTTTTACACATCAAATCAAACCTTTTATACTTTGTTATTAAAAAAATGCCAATAGAAAATGACTTTAAAATTTTATATGCAAATCCGACATTGATCGAGTACCTAAGGTAGGAGACTAGGAAGAAAAAAATAACTTCAAACCGGCGTGAAGAGAAGCCAAATCCTATGTCGGACCCATCAAAGTAGAAGCAAGGAAGTTGGTCCTCAGTATGAAGACAAAAGATAGAGAAAAAAGGTTGGTTTTTGATAACGAGTATTCACCAACTAATAGGTGCCCTTTTTGTTAGAGTCTCTATTAGGAGTATAATTAATCAAGTTTAAATTAATATAATATCAAATTTAAATTTAAATTTGATTCACAATTTAAAATTTAAAATTTTGTTTGAATTCGATCGAATTTTATTTTTTTTGTTTAAATTTAACTCGAGATAAAAATTAAATTACTTGAATTTATTCGATTAGATTCGATTAAAATATAAAAATAAGTTCGATTTTTATATTCGATAAAAACTCGATTATTTGTATTCGAGTTCGAATTCGAGTTTGAAATATTTTATTAATTAAAATAATAAAAATATATTTAAATATAAAAGCTCGATTAGATTTTCAAGTTATTTAAGTTAGATATAAAAATACTCAAATTCGGTTTGATCGATGAGTTGAGCTACTTGAGTTTAAACTTGATTCGATAATAATCGAACCGATTAGAGTTTTATTCAAATCAAACTTGAATAATTTATCAGTATTAATGTATCATTTATATCCCTAATTTTCATTCTCCCATCTCCTAACTCTTTTAAACTAAAAGTATAATCGATCAAGTTTGAATTAAAATAGTACTAAGCTTGAATTTAAGTTCGACTATAAATTTGAGATTTGAAACTCGATTCGAACTCGATCGATTTTTTTTTTTAATTTGACTCGAGATAGAAATCGAACTATTTAAATTCACTCAATTAAATTCGATTAATATGTAAATATAAGTTTAATTTTTATATTCGATAAAAACTTGATTATTTATACTCAATTTTAAATTTGAGTGTGATATATTTTATCAATTAAAATATAATAAAATATAAAAATTCGATTAAATTGATGAATAATTCGAATCAAATATAAAAATATTTAAATTTAATTCGATCGATAAATCAAATTATTCAAATTTAAATTTAATTCAATAAAAATTAAATCAAATTCAAATTTTATTTGAATTAAACCATAATAATATACGAATACGGATGTTTTCTTTACGCATCAACTCTAATCCTATACGACAGAAATAAGGTGGGTCGAAAAAGTAAAATGCTAGCTTAGCAAAATGCTTTTATTGAGCCTTTAGTCTGCACGCCGAAAGGCGTATCCAGACTGCCTACTTTTATAGATTGCCAAGTGCACTTATTTTTCCCTTTTGTTAAACTTAAATAAATCTAATAATTTAACATTATTCTTCCTGCTTAAATAGTTTTAAAAATAATTTAAAAGGGAATTTTAAAAATAAAATTGGGGAATTAATCTTTATGTTTATGTGAAAATATGAATTTAATATTTATACCATAATTTAATAAAAATAAAAATTTATATTATTTTTCAAGATTTCAAATTTCAATAATAAAGTTTATTTTATCATTCGATTGGTTTTATTTGAACGTTAATTTGAAATGACGTTGTGCTAACAGCGGGATAAATTTGTTTGGTCAACTAATATAAATTTTTTTAATCCATGTGACTTTTTTCATTTCGTGTTAAAATAAAATCCAAAATCTGGGTAAAGGCTCATTTCTAGTTGACACTAGCCATACCAAACTTATGTCCTATAAGAATCTTATATTCTTTCAAAGATTTTCTGCAAATTTCAAAAACACAAAAATAATCAAGCAACGGATCACATTTCTTCCATATATTTAGGAACTATCCAACAACCAATGTATGCAAAAAAAAAAAAAAAAAAAACTCAGTATTTAGTAAGTTGACCTGGAAGAAGACGGTTTATCCATGTTTACAACCAACGCAAATAACATATTTAGTCCAAGGAAAAGATGGATCAGATATCACATCCTGCAATATTTGAGTGCGGTCCCCAGCAGAATGATGCACCTTATTTCTATACGCACATTTGTCGTCAGCCACCTGCATAAATATTGAAAAAAAAGAAAACGTGTATACCAGATACCAATTAAGGTTCAACTGAAGCTTTTAACGTATGCCATATGTCGCACAGGCAGTCTTTGGGAGCTAGATGCGAACCCCACTGGCCACCACCTGTCTACGTTACCCAACCTCCAAATGTCTCGTTGCATAGCTGAAACGTGTAAAGTTCATTATATTATATGTGGACTACGCATTTACATACTCTGATGCATCTCCTGAACCCTCCATACGTTTTCCAACGAATTATATCAGCCTATGATTCACAGTTCCAAGCAAAAGAAAACGAACCAGAGTCAACCAAGAAGGCCCCAGGGCCAAGCCGACCAAGCTTCCGACCCTGAAGCTATCAAGTACAGTGATGTTTTCGATGTCACTGGTGGATTGGCATCTAAACCAGTTGCACCAAGAGATGCAGCTACCATGCTCACTGCCGAGAACCAAGTGCTGGGAAAGACGCTGGATGCCAGTGCTGCCTCTGTCATGCAATCTGCATCTGATCTAAATGTGAGGTCCGGTACTGTTGGTCGCGACCAGGGGAATGAGATGGTCGAAAGAGAGGGCGTTATCTAAATCAAGAGATGTCCAAGGAAAAGCTGTTGTCACTGAAGTTGTTGCTGACCAGGTCAAATATGTACATTTCCCCTGGCTTTTTCAACTAATAACGTTGTTAATTGTTACTATTATTATTATTTTAAACTCTTATTATGATTGTTTTTCTGAAGCAGATTGTAGGGCAATACATTCCGTCTAATGTGCGAGGGATAAACCCTTCTTCATCTCCAACTCCAACTACAGGGAATTTGCGATGGACAACTCTATCTCCAACTTCATCTTCAACGGTTGTGGTTGATCAAAGTGGCATCACCATTGGAGAAGTTTCGGAGGCAATATCTATTTCAGTTGGCGACAAACTGGTTGACCAAGGTGATGCAGCTGCAGTACAAGCGGATGAGGCGAGAGCTGCTGGCCGCAATGTAACCCAATTACCTAACGGCCTTGGCGCCTCAGCTCAAACTGCTGCCTGTTTCAATGCCCATGAGGCTTATGATTATAATAAGATCACTATATCTGATGTTTTATCGGTAATTAAGACTTCATAATACTTTTCTCGCTTCACTAATTATTCGGTTAGGGTGCAATTATTAATTTTCCCATTTCGTCTTATGTGATTTTTCATTGGGACAGGATGCTATTGCCAAGTTGCCTCATGATAAAAAAGTGACAAGTGAAGATGCTGATGGGGTGAGGGGTGCGGAGCTGAGTAACAAGCCTGACAGCTGGATAACCACGCCTGGTGGAGTGGCAGATACCATGGCGACAGCTGCTAGGATAAATCGGGATGATACGCCATGAATCTTTACTGTGTATTTATCGGAAATAAACAACATACATTTACATAAAATATATACGAAACAAAATTTACAGAATTAAAATGAATTTAACTTATATGCGTAGGACTGAAAAGTTGAACTTAATTCACCTGTCAAGAACAAAGTCATGCATTCGTAAATTATTCGATTTCCACAGCCACAGCCTAAATCTTACGTATTGCAAAGAAACATATTTGGAACAAATCATGCACCAAATTCTCTTACGCTTCCAAAGAGCATGTTAGCATAATACTAACATATTTTCTTCACACGCTCATCCGTTCCTCTTCAAAATAGTACGGCTATTTATACCCAAAATAGGTGAGTGCTCTCTTGTTCATTTGAATAAATAAAATGATAGTTTTTAAGCTACCATTGTGTTATTGGTCCACCCATTCTCCTAATATACAAAACATTATTATTAGGTGTAGGGATAAAAACACACACACACACACGTATATATGTACACATACACACTAGTGCTGCAGGCCTGCTTTATCTTGCAAGTTTTTGTAGCGATGGAGTCCATCTTGGTCTAAAGTATCATGATCTGTAGTAGTATATCTTAAGTAGCACTGTTCAAGTTTCCTTGCAATAGTATTTTGCTTAATTAAATCTTTCCTTCCTCCATAATGAAAGATTCGTGTACCTCATGGCTGAGGGCTGGCCATTAGTAAGCTAATGTAATCAAACTGTGAATACTAATTATAGGCTGCTAAATTGAAATTGAAGGAAATAAGAATTACTCCTTGAATGGTTCAATTTTGTCTAACTTCACTTGGTTATTAATACTTCATTTGGCCAGTGGGTTTCCTGTTGTTAGAGCTTGTTAGAGTGTAAACGAATACAGTTTTTTATGAACTGTTTATGAATATTTTTTATTTTTATTTATTTATTAAATTTAAAAAAAGATTTTGAACAACATTTTTCTATTTGTTTATTAAACAAACCATATACAAACAAAGGTTTATATGATTCATTTATACTTACAAATAAGTAAGTTTAAGGTCCTTTCAAAATTCATTCTTTTAGATTTGTTTATATTCCTTTCTTATTAATTTTATAATTTTATATTTATTTGTTTATTTGAATTTATTTGGCTATAATATATTTATTATTTATGAACATATTTATTTATTATTCATAAACATATTTGTTTATAAGTCTGTAAATATGTTCGTTTAATGTTTATGAATGATTTTATTTACTTTGAACAAACTAAACACAAATCGAATACAAATATTCTATCATTTAAATGAGTTAAACTTAAATATAATAAATAAATTTCTTATCAAACATGAATCGAACGCAAATAATTTTAAAAATAAATAATAAAAATGCAAATATATATTTGTACATTCATATTTGATTCAATTACATTCTTATTTATCATCTTATCCTGTTAAATGTTACTAATTAATCACTAATTTAATGCAAGGAGAGTTAATCCGCTTATGGATTTGGACAGTAAATATCTCTAATAATATTACTTTATTTATGTCTTTTAAATAATTTTATTAATTAAATTACAATTTATAAAATCGACTGAATCAAATACTTTAATATTAATATAGATTAAATTACAAATAAACGGTACTAACATATAAATAATTATAAACAAAGGGGCGATTTAACGAAGGCTTACTGATACACATTGTCAAATGACGATTTAGAATTGAAATCTCTTTCAATAGATTTAACCATAATAAATGTACGTTCAAATATACAGTTGATTATAATTAAACCGAAGAAATTAAGAAGAAACTGCGAAGAGATAAGTTTTAAGATGAAGGATAGAGCACATTCTAGTTTCCATGCTTCATTGTTGCTCATGAGTCATGCCCATCTTAAAGATTGTGGCGGCCGGTTGCCAAGTGTCGGCCCCTTGCTTGCTTGGATCATGCGACCAAGCCATTGTGGTTCCATAAGTCTCTTCTTGATGCCGACATTTGTAATTTCAAGCCACGCTGTCAAAAATATGACTATACGTGGCTCTCCGGTGCACCAAACCGCAGGCTCAGTACTTAAAGAACCCTATGCACCTCCCTCGGCGGCCACAGTATTCTATCCGTTCCCTTTTCAGTCCATCGAACATATGTACACCAAATCTCCAATCAAAGAAACTAACTATGAGCAAGCAACAATCACGAAGTACTCGGGCTGGTCAATTCCTTGATCAAGAACCTATCAAGTTGGTAACTTCGTTAACGTCACTGGTGAACTGGCTTCAAAACCTATTGAGCCAGAGGATGACGCCGCCATGCAGTCGGCTGAGACCCTTGTCCTTGGACAAACACGAAAAAAAGGTACTGCGGCTGCCATGCAATCTGCAGCGACCGCAAATGAAAGAGCAGGCGTCGTTAGCCACAATGACGCTGGTGTTGCAGGAGATCAGGGCGTCACCGTAATTAAGTCTGACGCAGATGGCGAAGTTTGGGTCCCAGAAGCCGTTGGTGGACAGGTCAAATATTGGATCATCACTTCTTATATGCATTATGAAAAATCGAGTGATCATTAAAACTATATTAAGCTTGGACATGCTCTGAAAATAAGCCTTTTAACAACTTTAAATTGTTCTTTTGTTGAGACAGCTGATCGGACAATACATACAACCAGAAGTTTCAGCGATCACTATTCCAGCTACATTGTTTGCTCCTGATCCAATTACGATTGGAGAAGCATTCGAGACGGCGGCGTTCTCTGCCGCTGACAAACCAGTTGATCAGAGCGATGCAGCCGCAATTCAAGCTGCTGAAATGAGAGCTACTCGCAGTAACCAGATACTGCCTGGCGGTATCGCCTCCGAGGCCCAGTCTGCAGCCACTCGAAATTCCCGAACCATGCTTTTTGAAAATCAAGCCACCCTCTCGGACGTTTTATCGGTAATAATTTGACACCCAATTTCTTATTGGATTTGAAAAGCAAGAATATTCTTTTTCACAAGATTTCAACTTTTTGGGCAGGATGCTACTTTGATGTTACCTATGGATAAGGCGGTGACTCGCGAAGATGCTGATAAGGCGGTAGCTGCGGAGCTAAGAAATAATCCTGACATGACTACCACGCCTGGTGGAGTGGGGGCTGCCATGGCTGCAGCAGCTAGGCGTAATCAAAATTCAACAATTTAAAGCTTTGGATATATGATAATACTAAGTTCACTACTTGGTTTTCTGAAAGAATGTTATGTCTTGTTACAAGCTCAATTTACGTTTTGACTTGGTGTAGTAAATAACTATGTTACATGTGCAATAGTTGCTTTCGAAATTCATATGTTTAATGCTCTTTCTGTTGCGTTTTCCCTGTGATAAATGCTTATCTTTCTTCGTTGAGATGTATTGTCTGTCCCTATTTCCAAAATACATAATATGCCTCGGATGTAGAAATGTGATGGGGGTTTCACAATTGGTCACTGGAAAATGTGAAGTGGTTCTACCAAAAAATGGAAAAAGAAAGTGAAATGGTCGATGTTGATGTTCTGCTAGGTCGAAACTGAATTGGTTTGGCCCAAGAGAATGACATTTCATGGAAAATGTCAAGCCTGGTCCCAAAAAGAGGCCGGTATCCATTTGGGTTTACGGCCCGATAAATCTCCTCTCGTGATGTGTTCAGTGATTTTTTGGTTTTTCCTTCTAAATGCTTGTTTGATCAATTCGTGTCCGGTGACTTCAATTTGTTTGTACTTTTTCTTCCAAGGAGGAGGATCTTCCTGAACAGAGTCTTGTTTCAAATTGAGTCCAGTCTTGAATTTAGCTCAATGTTAATTATAAGTGATTTGTAACCTTTGGTTCAATGCCCTATTATTCTTATATTGAGCTAGGTCTCTTCATGAAAATGAAATAATAAATACTATTAAAAATAGGTAGTCAACGAAGCAATTTTGTACTATTCACTTTTTAAGTCTTGTAAAATTCATCACCTTAACCTCATATATCTTAGGCAGGACTCTCAAAGATATTTCTAAATATAAAACAATAAAAATTCAAAGACATTTTCAAAAGATCGAAAAATAAAAATATACTTCCAAAAACATTTCTAAAGATAAAAAAAAAAAAAATCTCAAAGACAATTTAAAAAATAAAAAAAAAAAAGATATCTCTAGATATTGAAAAATAAAATATTTGCAAGAAAATTTTTTTCAAAAAATCAATAAATTTGTGTGTAATTTTTTAATTTTTTAAATGTATTATATGAGTGATTATCCCAAAAAGAGTCTACTGCAGAATATTATGGAGGCTTAAATTCGGAAGTAACATTTATGTACCTCAGTCCTTTTTCCTAGCTACATACTGCTGCACTCGAATATTTACGGAAAATTAAAAAAAAAAAAGAAAAAAGTCCAAGGTCCAAGTCTCTTGCATGCTATGTAATTGGAGCATCACAAAGATGAAAAAGGGGTTTAGAGTTGACATTATCACAGGCCAAAACGGTACGTTGTTATGGTCCTCTTGCACGTGGATGAAAGAAACAGGTCAGTCTTGTTGTTGTAGGAAAAGCGCCAAATCGCTTTGTTTGATGAGGATGCATTTCTATTTTTAAGATTTTTGAAGTAGCAGTAATCCTCCTGAACAGCAACATCAAAATTGCCAAATTTCAACTTTCCCAATTTTTTATGGTTTCCCCTTTTTTCCAATTGCAAGAAATCTCTCATTGGGAATCAAAACAGCGTCCATAAAAGAACCATGGACAATGTTAATAAATTTGATTTTGATAAAATATACTTTACTATATCCAATAATTTTGCTGAACTTGCCTGCTTGCAGCATAGAACGCGTGGGGAAGTTTTACTGCTTAAACACTTTTGGCTGGGTTATAATGGCCAGAGAAGTATACACACTCATGCATATGGGCCTAAGCTAAGTGTTAACAAGACATGCAGAGAAATTGAAACAGGAAATGCAACAATTAGGCTCATGCATATGGGCCTAAGCTAAGTGTTAGTGTAAAGGCAACCTGAATTACGACTTAGGAGCTGTTATTATCTATGTTGGCGTCGCAAAGGAGATATGATGCTTAACCTTACCTGAACCGGTGGTTGGGGGGAGGGGGGGTCCTTCGGACACAAACAGAAGCAAGACGTTAGTTGGATTGGTCGACCTTGGGGCTCGCCCACCATGTGCTTCATGTGGTCACTTTAAACATTGGTTGGACCATACTTGCAGCCCACCTCTCCTCTTCCTTTCTATATACCACATTCCGTAACCGAAAGGGCCTTTTCCAGTACAGGATATATTACCAAATCTATATATTAGTCCGGTAAAATAAGTATACTGTCTCTGTGAATGTTTCCACCATATACAATTTGCATGTGCACCTTACGTAAAACCTAAATTTATATTTTATTTTATTTATTTATTTATATAAAAGAAAATTGTAAAGAAAACTTAGATTTACGCACCTTTAACCGAGTGCATATCAACAGCCAAACTGTATGGCTGAAGGAAGCACTCGTAGCAGTCTGGATTACAACGTGATTTCACGTGTGATTAACGTGCCTAACCTGAGAATGGAGAAATACTTTGATATATGTTTTTTTCCCCTTTAAATAATGAGTTGAGCTTACCGACTTTTAATCTCATTTTCTATTTAAAAATTTTTAATAACATAAAAATCATTGTTTTAATTGATCATATCATAACATATAAATTTGTAAACTTATCACTAAATACGATTTAAGAATCATCATAAATATTTTTTTATTTAAATATAATTGATCATTTAATTAAATCTGTCTCATTTTAAAGAAGAGTTTCAAACTTTACTTTAGTATTTTTAAAAGGTAAATTTTAATTTATGAAACCAAATAAAGTTCAAGAGTATGATTATATATAAAGATGATTATATACCCTCGTAACATCTACAAAGATAGTACATTATTTCGTATTTATTGAACTTTTAAAATCTTACTAGTATAATTATTAGGAATCATTTTTAATTAACTCCAATAGTTTGACAGAAAATTAAAAGAATTATCTTACCTTAGAAATATACAAGAAAACTATTATTTCTCTTGTAGAGAGTCTGTCATCAAATCATTTAATATTTATCTTTTTTTTTATGAAATTCTTAGAAAATTTTAATTTTAAGAAAAAATTGATACTTCAACTTTTTTTCCTAAAATACTGAATTTTTTTTAAAGAAAATATTAATATTTCAATTCTTTCTTCTACTTTTTGAAATCATTTTTATTTTAGGAGAAAATTGATACTTCAATTTTTTTCCTAAAAAATTTGAAATTATTTTTATTTAAGAAAAAAATTAATACTTTGACTCTTTTCCCAAAATTTTGAAATTATTTTTCATTTAAGAAAAAATTGATATTTCAACTTTTTGCTCAAATTTTGAAATTATTTTTATTTCGAGGAAAAATTAAAATTTTAACATTTTCCTCATTTTTTTGAAATCATTTTTTTTAAGAAAAATTAATACTTTAACTTTTTCCTCACAAATTTTGAAATTATTTTTTTTAAGAAAAATTAATATTTCAACTTTTTTCTCAAATTTTCATGAAATTACTTTTTATATTAATTTTTTTAAGATTTAAAAAAAATTATTTTGATATATTTTTTTAAAAAAAATTTACTCAAATAAATAAATAAACACAAAATAAACTCAGCTCAGCTCAAGACCTAAGAATGGCTTGGAGATTTGGCGACTCAGCTTTGGCTTGAAAATGGCTTATCGGCTCAAAGTCAAATTTGTGGAGTGGATCACGATCGGGTTGGATAGCCCGTGGGTTGATGCACAGGTCCTCATCCCTTTTACCCAAGTCAAAAAACATCATTTGTTCTTTATTTAATTAAAAAAAAAATTTTGTTCTCATTCATTTTTCTTTTTCACTCTCTAACTAATCTCTCTTTTTTCTCTCAAGTTTCCATATGAGCATGGATAATTCTTTAAGCTTTCCTAGATTTCGGTCATTACATTCCATTTACTATTATCCTAGGTCGCGGGATTTTTCTAAAAGATCACACCGAACTCTTTGCGGTCTCCACATCCCAAATCTTAGCTCGGATTTTGTAAAATCAACCTTGAACGACCTAAATCTAAGGTGAAAGTTACAGCCTTACACTGTGGTTTCAACCTCTTTCCACCATTTGATCTTTTCAAACTTTTAATATGTTGTCCATTTTTTTTACCCCTCATTTTACACCATTCCTGATTTCCCAAATAATCTTTTCCACCTTAGGTTGTCACTGGTGCTGCCACTATCAGGAAAAAAAATTTGTAGATTTTGTAACTTGTGCTTTCTGAGTTCTAGGTTATGGATTATTTTGAATGTGGCTTTTGTGGCTATATTTGGGTTTGTGTTGGCTTTGGCTATTGTTCTGTGATTGCTAAGTATTTGTTGGGGTTTTACCGGTTGTTATTTTAATGCTTGACTTTTGAGTTTGGTCTTGAACTAGTGGTTGCTGTTTGGGTGGGGGTTCGATTGAATCGGTAATTAAAAATTGGTTTAAGTAGTGGAAGGTAGAAAGTAGAGGCTGTTTTGGTAATGAGATGATGGTTGTTTCACAACTAATGGAACAAGGAAGACGATTTTTGGCTTATTGTTTTTCTCTTTATGATTAAAAAAAAGATAAATGAAATTGAAGATAAAAAAATCAACAATAAAGATAACAATTAAAATTAAATTAATAAAGAATAAATAAAAATAAATAAGATAAATATATATACAAATAAATGTAATAAAAGTAAAACATAAAACATTAATAAAAATAAAAATAAAAAATTTGATAACCGAGCTTGGATTAAGTTCGGGTCCAATTAACTTAGATTATGGATTAAATGAGATGTCTACAAATCTTTTCACTTTAAAAATAAGGAAACAATCATTAAATAATATCTTGAGGGTTTTTTTTTCATGTAAATATAAAGGTTCAGGTTTACTACGTTTTGTTTTTTATTACGTAAGCAATGATTGTTTTTAAGTTTTATTTAAATTTAATTTCTTACATGGATACAGTCATTCAAAATTTTATTCATTAAATAATAATTTTCTTTTTTTATTTTTTATAAATAGATGTTTCATTTATTCATTTGCAAGAAATAGCATCAGCTTGTAAAGCATTATACGAGACAACTGAAAGATCTTTTACCCAATGCATTTTCTCGTTTATACCTAGCCCAT